TTTATTCAGAGTGAGTTATTATTGGTACATGATTTAACAACCATTAATATGATATGCTACACATTTTGAATGATAATGATTGAATAAAACAGGTAAATATTTTTATTGAATCTGTAGTACTTAATCAGATAGATGAGGCATTCCCCCCAATTACGTAACATACACAGGAATGAGCATTATTTATTACTACAATGAGAGAGTTGAGAACTAATTCTAATCCTATTATGGGCTTTTATGTATGTAAGCACTTAGAAATATTTTTCACATAAGGACGTATGTAGGAATTGAGCAGTTTTTGAACTCCTTCCAAGGACGTGCCAAATATCACATGGTGATTTATCACAACAACTGCTTCCATAATCCATAGACAACTCGAACAGGTTTTCCCTTAATTTTGTTGAAAGCAAATAACTGGAAACCTCTTGATATATAAAAGTGTTTTGTTACCCTGTCATGAGTCTCTTATTTCTTTTTAAATTTGTGGTAATTCAAAAATTCATTATCAAGACAGATCAAATAGTCATTATTTCTTCCTTCAATTCTTACTTATGGGCACTTTGCTTAAACTGATATACTCAGAAAGGATTGTGAATACTGAAAAATTTTTACTTTCAAAACACCTTTGCCAGGATTGTTATTTTTTTTTCCCACAAGCTGCTTTTATTGTGTGCTTTATGTATATATTTTCATCAAAACCTTGGAGCTACCTATTTAGCTTGTCAACATATGGATGCCATGTGTCCTGGTTAACCTGGTTAGCTAAACCAGTTGTCATTGCCCAAACAATCAAAAGGATGTACATGAATCTCCATAGCCCTCGTTTCTTTTCCTATCTCCTCTTGATTATTGCCATGGGCTTTGTATGGTAGAGGAGAAACAAGAATTGAGCCCAGCTTATTTTGGTGGCCCCAAATTATTTTTGAATCATTTTAGTGGAATTTAAATTTCATATGTGTCAACTACTTCAGGAAACGAAGAACTGGCCAGGCACAGTGACTCATGCGTGTAATCACAGTGCTTTGGGATGCCGAGGCAAGAGGACTATTTGAAACCAGGAGTTTGAGACCAGCCTGGGCAACAAAGCAAGACTCTGTCTCCACTGTTTATTTTTTTTTGAGACGGAGTCTTGCTCTTGTTGCTCAGGTTGGAGTGCAGTGGCGTGACCTCGGCTCACTGCAACCTCCGCCTCCCAGGTACAAGCAATTCTCCTGCCTCAGCCTCCTGAGTAGCTGGAATTCCAGGCACCTTCCACCATGCCCAGCTAATTTTTGTACTTTTAACAGAGATGGGGTTTCACCATGTTGGCCAGGCTGGTCTTGAACTCCTGACCATGGTGATCCATCTGCGTTGGCCTCCCAAAGTGCTGGGATTACAGGTATGAGCCGCTACACCTGGGCTATTTTTTTTAATTAAAAAAATTTTTTTAATGAAAAAAAAAAAAAAAAAAAAAACCCTAAGTTCACAGACTTCACAAAGGTACATCCATCCCTAGCTGTTTCCCACCCTCACCACCCATGCCAGTGACTGCATATTATTTTTACCTTTTTGCTCTTTGACAGAAGGAAGTCTGACATCAACACTACCTTATTTCCATATCCTGCAGATTGGGAAGGAGCTTTCTAATGGGATATTCATGATGGCAATATTTTACAAAACAAAAAGTTGGAGTTCATAGATTTCCTTTATGAAAACTCATCTGTACTTAGTGGTTTTATTGTTTGTGTATTCAATTCATTTACTCAACAAATATATATTGAGCCACCCTATATACAAAGACGGGGGACACAGCAGCAAATAAGTGAACAGGACCAGACACACTGCCTGCCTTCAGGTAGGTTATATTATAGTGGAAAGTCTGATGTTAAAGAACGAATTGCAAAATTAATCATTCACTACAATGATGAAAACTTCTATGAATAAAAAATAAGGTGATGTGAGAGGCTGTAAAAGGGGATTGATGTCTCCCAAGGATCAGGGAATGTTTTCTTGATGAAGTGACATTCTGTCAGAGAGTTGAAAAATTAGATGGTATAAGCCATCCTGGGTGGGGACTGTTGAGAACAAGCATGCACCAAGGCTCTGAGGTAAACATAAATGTGTTTAAGGCCTTTTTTTTTTTTTTTTTAAGACAGTGAGTGAGGGAGATAGAGAGAAACAGATATGGAAACAACCCAAGGAAGGGCTGGAGATGAGATAGTGGTCAGATGTCACAAAGCCTCACTTGTAGGAGGTTTTCACAATGTTGATCTTTATTTAAAGACCAATGGCGGTTATAGGGATTTAAGGAAAGAGATGAATAGTCAGATGTGCATTGAAAAAAAATCATGAGGCCAGAGAGAAAGCTGAGATATCAGCTAGGATGTTCCTGCAGTGGTCCAAAAGGGAGATACTGACGGCTTGGACTAGAATGATGGCAATGGGTGTGGAGAGAGATGACTTAAGGGATGGGTAGGAATTAAGCAGGTAAAATGCATATACAAGAAAGATTCTGAGTTGGGATGGAGCTCCCTGGGTGCTGCTACAGCTACGCACACCGCAGCTGCTGACCCTGGCCTCTTGCTCCATGGAGCAGGCAGAACCCCTGCCCTCCTGGGCGGGGCTGCAGCCACCCAAGCTATAGCTGCAGATCTGAGTCTCCCTGTGATCTTGAGGGTCCAGGAGCAGGCAGGAGCCCTGTCCTCCTGGGTGCAGCTGCAGCCGCTCAAACTGCAGCTGCAGACCCAGGGCTCCTGCTCCAAGAGCCGACAGGATCCACCGCACCCCCAGACTTAGGCATCACTGCACTCTTGGGGGCCTGGAAAGGTCCCCTTTGTCCTTGCTGGCTCAGGAGTGCTTGCTCCCACTGCCTGGCTTCTCCCTCTGTCAGCACCTGCTCTGATGGGAGCAAAGTCCCTGCAAGCCCAGAGTTGTCAGCAGCAGGAGGTAGACAGATTCCAGAGTGGAAGGGGGCAGGCCCCTGGTAAGTCACATTCTTCAGGCCAGGGAGGGCCTTGAAGACTGGAGGCTGGGTGAGCAGTCCTACGAACTGGAGTGGAAGCTTGTAGTGCCTTTTCCAGGCCCTGCCATGGCCACCCATGGACCAATCTGTGTGCACTTCCTCACCTCTGAGGTTTATAGAAGCTCCAGGATCAGACAGAGCTGAGCAGACATCCCAACAACCAGTTTCAGGGAGAAGCTACCTTCTCTGCTGAGAGGTTCAGAGATCTGCAGAGATGTTGAAACTACCAGCTGTAGAGAGGAGCTACCCTCTCCAGGGCCTCCTCTCTGTTGAAAGCTGAACACTCCATGGGATGACCTACTAGTGGAGAGCAACTACCCACTGTGGTCTTTTCTGAGCTGTTCTAACAGTCAGTAAAGCTCCTCTTCATCTTGCTACCCTCCACTTGTCTGTGTACCTCATTATTCCTGGATGTGGGACAAGAGCTTGGGAAAAGGTGCCACCAGCCACAGAGGTTGTTGCCAGAAGAGCAACAACCCAAATATGCTGTAACATTTCAACATCCCAACATGTGACATTATTCTTTTCAACACACCTCCACCTCCACCCAAGTTGGCTTCTATCACTTAATATTTTTTCCAATGTTGAAGATTAAAGATAGAATCACGGTATTTTATTTTGTATTTATTTTATTACTAGTAAGATTAAGCATTAGTTATTTGTATTTTTATTTTTAAATTTTCTTTTATTTGTTCTTCTATTAATTTGCGTATTTTCTTCTTTGTGCCATGTAAGAACTCTATTTTATGGTTCTTATGTATTAAATGTATATTTCACATTTTTATCAGCTTGTGGCTTGATTTTTAAATTTGGGTTTTAGTGTTTAAAAAATAAGTTAAAAATTAAGTAATTAAATTTATCAGTCTTTTTATTGTGGGTTTTCTCTCTTTCACATTTTACCAATAAATGCCTTGTTAATACCTATGTAATATAAACAGCATTTTTGATATGAAAAAGGAGTTCTTATTATTCAGAATTTGAGGACCACTGGTGTGAGAAACAGACAGTTCATGGATGTGTACTTATGTTGTCACTGGGAAGAAGCTGAAACACTGTCTGCTTTGGAGAGAGTTTCAGTGGCTTGTGGATCTTTAACAAGCTTCTTGCTTATCAAAGTTGAAAATATGAGAACTTCTTTCCTTTTGTTTTCATTTGCTTTTCTTGAAACCACAGAGAGTCTTGTTTTTCAGGCAATCCACTACAAAGTGCAAACATCAAAAGGAGCCCATCTCGGTATTAAAGTTTGGGACTTTGGAGGCAGGGGGTTAGCTATGTTTTGAAATTAGATAATAGTGATGGATCACATTTTCACAACTTATGTTGCATTGTTTGTCATGAAGAGGAAAGCATTTCCACTTCTCAAAAAAAATATATATATATATACACACACACACACACACAAGCATATATATAATGCTATATTAAGTGTGTAAATCATATACGTGTCTTGTTGAGTACTTAGAATATTGATAAATACATAAATGAAATTCTGGTTTGTCTAATGAACTCAACTTTAAACAGTTGGCTTACTGATTTCTGAAATAAAAAGCCATTTATTATTTACTTATTTATTTATTTTAAAGACAGGGTCTTATTCTGTCACATAGGCTGGAATGCAGTGGTGCCCTTATAGCTCACTGTAACCTTGAGCTCCTGGGCTCAAGCAATCCTCCCACCTCAGCTTCCTGAGCGGCTGGGACTACGGGTGTGTGCCACCATAACTGGCTAATTTTGTTTTCTCTTAGGGACAGGGTCTCACTATGTTGTTCAGGCTGGTCTTGAGCTACCGGCCCCAAGCAATCCTCCTACCTTGGCCTCCCAAAGCTCTGGGACTAGAGGCGTGAGCCACCAATGCCTGGCCGAAAGGCCATTTAATGATTTGCTTTTATTGTGAAATTGATTAATCACAACATAAGTATTTTCTCTCCCCACTCAAAGAGATATATGCTTTTCATGAACACTTTAATCTCACATTTAACTGAAAATTTTTTTTCTCTTCTAGTTTTTGTTTCTGCTACGATGACATCATACATGGCTATAGATGGCAGTGCTCTTGTAAGTATCTTTCGGCATACCCCAGGCTTTAGATATTGTCAGTCTGATAAATGAGTAAAATAAAAGGTTGATTTCAAATTTGGCTGGCAATTTATTGTCCTCAATTTTATTAGCCACAGTAGAGCCAAATGACCCTGTTGTTAGGTTTAAAGGGTCTTATGATCATCAAGCATTTAAGACCTCTAGATTTTTACTTTTAAAGTTTAAGCTGCATACCATGGTTTTAATATACTGTACATAAATTATATTTTAAGAAGATGCTAGCTATGGTACTGGTGGAACCTCTCCTGCAACCTCTATAGGAAAAATTCTGTTAATAATTTCATGGAAATCATGAGGATCTTTTAAAACAATGTTATGGTCATATGTTTGCCTGAGATAGGTAAGTGAATTGAGCAAGTATATAATCTCTATTAGACAAGGAAACTTATGCAGGGAAAAATTAGGAAGTTTATGTTAGTAACATGGCATTTCTAATAGAAGGGGCTGTGGAGTGGTGTGGGATTGCATGATGTGCTTCTTTTGGCAAATCTAGTGACTACATGATAGGACAGAGTTTTAGGAGCAGAGCTAAAAGCAGAATCAGAAATGGTGTGTTAGGAGGATGAAGTATAGACTTTCTGCCAAATCTTGAATGTGGACAGTGGTTTCTTGATGCAAATTAGAAAATGGATATCAAGGGAGTTTGTGGTAACAAGGATGAAAAAACTGAGTTATCTAGACAGTTCCTGAAAGACACCTGAGTACAATGCAGGGTGGCTGATATATCCTTCCCTTGGTTTGCTAACAATTTCATATCCCTGAAATTGAAAAGGCAATGAAAACACTTTAATTCTGGTGCTAATTCTAATTAAGGAGAAAACTTATTAGGTATGAAAAAAAAGCAGGAAACTTTGAAACACCACACTGCAGAAGTTAAAAATGAAAATACAAATTATAAAAAGTTATGTATTGGCTGTGTGCAGTAGTTCACACCTGTAATCCCAGCACTTTAAGAGGCCAAGGCAGATGGATCAGTTGAGGTCAGGAGTTTGAGAACAGCTTGGCCAACACGGTGAAACTCTGTATTTACTAAAAATACAAAAAATTAGCTAGGAGTGATGGCATGCACCTGTAGTCCCAGCTAGTCAGGAGGTTGAGGCAGAAGAATCACTTGAACTCGGGAGGTGGAGGTTGCAGTGAGCTGAGATTGTGCCACTGCATTCCAGCCTGGGTGATCGAGTGAGACTC